GATAAAGCTACTTATGTGGTCTTATATTTATTGGCAACACTATTACACATGATAAAGAAAAATTATTAAAATTTTACTGTTTCTTGTGTGTTTTCTTTGTGCTTGTTAAAGGTGTTGCATTTTCAAATACTGCCATACATAATAAACAGAATTTTTTTCTTAAATTAGGTAATATTTTATATGAAAACTCAGGTAAACCTGCCTTGTTTTGAATGGATAATTGAAATCGGAATCTGTTAAAATCCCTTGAGCCCAATTTACTTTGCAACAAGTGGGCATAACTGCCTCCATGCAGTGACATCAGTGATGTTGACCTTGGTCTAAGCCTAGCAGGAAAAAGACTTTAGAAGAAAAATTCCAGTGAACGACAGAGGGGTAATACCACAACAGAAGGACTTTCCTCATATATGCCTGCAATTGTTTTCTCCCCTAGTGTCTGAAATTCCCTATTTACACATTTTTGAGATGTGCCTTATTGATATATCTGGAGCCTGTTACCTCCAGGTATGCCACTGTGCCCCTGTGCACAAGCTCTGCCAAGCTGATGCTGGTCTGTGTAGGACCAGATCAGCATTTCAGCATTAAGTAAAGCAATGTGGAAGTTGCTTTAACTTCCATGAGGAACACAGCAAAGACAAAAAAAAGAGCTCAGACCAGTAGGCATTTTGGCTTGGATTATTCTGCAGCCTGATACAGTTTGTCAGCCTCACAGGAGAATGCTGTTTTGGCAAGAGCATGGTCTCAGAGCTGCCAAAGGGAGGAGGCAGCAGCTATCCTGAGACACAGTGAGGCAATATTGGCCGAGCCAAGAGGAAATGCTAAGAGCCCAAGGCTCATTAGCCAGGACAGAGCCCTGAACCAAGTAATTATCACCACGTGACAAAAAAAGATAAAAAGCATAATTTTTACCTTATTTATCTTAAAGGTACCAGCCAGGGAGGGAAAAACCCCAGAATCTGACACTCTCATGCCACACACACTCATCCTAGTATGCAGTGGTGTACCTCTGTGGCCAAAGGTTGCAGGCCTGGTCATGAAGCTTGAACCAATGATCCCTTGGTTCTGAAGAATATTTCTTTTGCCATTCTTTAATATATTTTCTAGTTCAAATAGTGTCTGAAATAAATGGCTTATATGAGAAAGAGTTTGCAGTTACTATATTATTAATGTGGTACTATGCAGACATCCAGAAATGAGAAGGGATACTTTTTAAAAGTCACTTACATCCTACTGCACACAAACCAACCTAATTATCTACCAAGTAATTTTTCAAATGTTATTTTGTTTTTAAATTTTGGAGTTGTTTTGGCAAGAAATCTTTCCTAGCTATACCTGCATACCCTTAATTGATTTGGGGTAGAGAAAGGATACATTTAAACACAAGACAATCTAATTTCACACAAAAATCATTTCTATTTTTATCATGTTATTGTTCAGTTTGAATAGCAATTTAGAGTCTATGAAACATTTTCCTACATTTACTTAGAGAAAATATTATCAATATGCATTAAAATTAAATATTGCATCTTTCATTTTGTTACACTTTTGAACTCTGAAGTGGAATTTTCTGAAAGATGCTGATATTACCTGTAGTTTTCATCAACACTCATGACTGGTAGTAAAAATTTTGTAAATTTTTGGTTGCATTTTCCTGGACTCATATTTTACCACTGTATGTTGTGTTGCATGTTGTGTAATAATATACCAGTCAAACAACATAGAACAATATTTTCAAATGCTAAAATGTAAATGGGAAGCCAAGAGGAATTGTGAGAATTGTACAATCCAAAAAATTGTCTTCACAATTAGGAGAGATGGAAACACTACCCAATCAAACTGCAGTGCATTCCACTGAAGTCAAGGCATTTTGAAAATGCCTGCTGTATTGCTGAGCAAATTGATTTCCTTTCTAACAGCCAAATACAACATTTCATACTCATATTCAATACAACCTACTGTCATGTTAGCTACCCTGCTAACAGGGTAGTTAACAAACTAGTGCTTGAGCAAATTATTAAAACTAAAAATATTGAGGATTGTTAGCTCAATTTCAGCTTGTGCTAGATCAGCTTTACAAAACCCCACAAAAATATTTTCATATTATTGTTGTCCGTGTTGGAGCTATTCTCAAAAATGAAGAAGTGTGTTGTACATTTTCACCATGTTCCTTTCCCTGTAAAGGCCTTGAAGTGACCCGTATCTCAAGTGTGTGCCGAGCCGTGAACACTGCCTCCAACTGCTCCGGGTAGGAAAAACAATTATGCAAATTTCCTGCAATGCAAAAGGTAGCATGATTTCCAGAGGCAAAACCCTGGACTCTATATCACAGTTTCAAAATGCAGTGGCTTGTTGGTTTTCAGTATTCTTTTTCAGTTTGGTTTGACAGTAGGGTAAATTATTGGGAAATGATTTGACCTCTTCAGGTGTCTGTGGACATGCAAAATACAGCTGCCTGTAGATATGCTCATGTGGGTACATCAAAAATGTAGGCTAAATGAGAATCACTTCAAAGATAGGAAAAAAAATTATTTTCAGCATTGTAATTTATGTGTTGTAGCTGAGCACTGGAATATGCCTTTGGCTTGCTTGATTAGAACTTTTAATAATATAATTTAAAAAGAAACATTTAAAATGGTGAAAATTCTGCTCACTGTGAAAGAGAGGAAATGTTTATTATAATAAACACTTTAAACTGATGTAAAATCCTCTGATCCATTACACAGTACAGCACACACCAACAAAAGACTCTGTCTACACTGTATTTTATATTTGCAAACTAATGACCTGAAATTGCTAAGATCTGAATTATTTCTATAAAATCACTTAGCTGAATAAGGACTATTCACGAAATTTTATGAGCAAATCATGTCAAACCAATCTAATTTCCTTCCATAAGGCAGTTACCAGGCTTGTAGTGGGAGAGAAGCAGGAGATGTGTGTCTTAAAGCTTTAAGCAAACCTCACACGACATAAGGAACAGAAATGGGTTTTGATGAACTTCTGCTGAGTGAGGGTAAACTGGATGATCAGAACCATCACCAGAACAATGTTCAGTGCCAAACAATAGGACAAGAGGCAAAGGACAGAAACTGATGCACAGGAAGTTCCACCTGAATTTGAGGAAGAACAGCTTTATTGTGCAGCTGACCTAGCACTGGAAGAGATTGCTAAGAGAGGCTGTGGAGTCTCCCTCACTGGAAATATTTAAGAACCGTCTGGATGCAATCTAGAATGACCCTGTCTGGACAAGGAGGTTGGACCAGATGATCCACGGTGGTGGGTTTCCAACTTGACTAATTCTGTAATTCTGTGCTTTAGTATTACTTAAAAAAACCCAACGAACCAAAAAAATCCAAATTAAAATAAACACAAACCCCACCAAACAGGTGGCATCTGTCTCGGCTACAGGTCTCTTTGTTATTTTACGTAATGATCCAAAGGAGGAAATGGGATATATTAATTATATTTGTAGAGGACAGAAACCAAGACGGGACCGAGCTCTTGCCCAACCATTTTGCGGGCGGAGATGAGAATTCAGAAGGCACCGACGAGCCGAAGGAGCACTGCAGAGAGCTCCAGAAGGAGCCTCTGCGGGGACAATTGCAGCATAACGAGGAATTAGCCCGAGGCAGTTCGCAATGCGTGCGGTCACTCGGAGCTGATCCCTCGGCCCCGGTTTCCTTACAGACAGCGGCAAAGATCTGCTTTCCGTGCTACTGCTTCCCAGTGCCGCTGCTCGGCGGCAGGACGCGGATCGCTTCCCGCAGCTGCGGAGGCGCGGCTCCTCTCGCCGCCACCCCCCCAGCTCCGCAAGCAGCGCGCTGCCCCCGGCGCTGCCGGGCCCACCCAGCGCCAGCCCCGCCGGCGCGCAGCGAGCAGGTGGGCGGGCGGAGAGCGG